CTGCCTTCTTCAAAGACTCACGACAAACTGCTTATGAGTAATTTTTTTCTCTTTCCTTGCAGCGTTACTGGAAGAGAACATACCACTCAAAGAACACACAGGACAAAATTCCTGCTACTCTGTATTGGAACTAAAGTGTTGTGAGAGTACATGTACTAAAATGACAGTTTTTCATAAATTATTTTCAATTGTTCTCAGTTGTTGTAAACAAGTCCAATTTTTGGAATGTGTTATTTCTAACTGGCATTTCTATGGTTTTTAACTTTTTAATGACTCTTTCACAAAGGACAAAATGAGTTTTGTATATACAATTATTTGGTGAAGAATTTGCTAACTTAATGTAAATATAAGCATTCATGATTAGGATAGACCCATCAATATATTTTTGATAATCTTTCATGTTTATGGTAGTAGGGAAAAGCTGTAGTGATGTTCCGTAAAATGGATGGACATAGGAGGTTTTGAAGTTTTTAAATTGTTCTTATTTTTAGATTCCAGAGCTTGACCTCTGTATGATCAGCTTCGTATTTTCATAATGTTAAGTGCTTAGGACTGTGTTAAATCAAATACAGGAGAGTTGTAACCTTTATTAATCACATCTGTATATAAGTCATATGCCAACTTTTTGTCGAGTTGTAAAATTTTCATGTGTATGTCCAGTCCTTGTATTTCCCAGTTGCCTTGTTCAGTAATGACAGACCTTGTTAATAAAAGAAAATTATATCTGTAGATACATATATCTCTTTTGTGTACTCTGTTGCTCTGGTACATGTTACCAAACAAAGCTGATTCAAGAGAAAAAGAAAATGTAATTTTTAGACTTAATCTGGAAGCCACAAACAGTGAACTATACCTTTCAATTGAAGTTTTTTGATACTGAAAGAAAGCACTATCCAAATTACGCAGGCATGCATGTGTGTGTTCTTAGCATTAGATGTTTTCCACCAATGTGTTAAGAGTTTCTTCAAAATGTAGTCTGGTTTGATTTGGGGTTTTTTTAGCTGTAACTGCAGTTTGCTTGATAGCTGCAGCTAATTTGCTGCTCTTCAAGGATGTTGATGTCTAAAAACACATCAGGTTTGCTGACTATTCAGTCAATACTGTTTCAAATAGAAGTGTTTTCTCAGATCTGCGAAGCAGCAGTCTGAGTTACTATATCTTACATATAACTAGGTCAGGTACCTACTCGAGTGGGTGCACAAATTATTTCTCATGTGGGGGGAGTTAATTATCTTGTTCTTAGTGTCACATGGGTGACTTCCAGTCATGGGGCATGTCTGTTTGCCGCTTTAAAGTTCAGACCAGATTTATGGGTTGACAAGATACACAGCAGGGCACTTGCTGCAGAATGAACTGCCATGGTTCTGCCTCTTCCTAGATTTTAGATGATGATACTTCATATAAATATCTCTGCATAGTGATTTGGATACAACAGCAAAATCAAAAGTGCTCCTAAGAAAATACAGGCATGCTTATTGTCTTGAGGCAGAGAATCTTTGGCTTATCTTGAAGACAAAAAAATCTCAACAGTGAGAATGGAGAAGCAGATGCTAAGTATTTTCCACAGATCAGTCCAAGTAGAATGGAGAGGTTTCCTAGGGACATACATAAGCAGTAGAATAAACAATTCTTCTGTGCATGTAAGTAGTCTGAAAAAAAGATGATGTCCCCACAACCCTACAGGCTTACACTGTCTCAGGAAGTGTTTTATTCTGTCAAAATAAGATCATACTGGATTTTTTCTGATGACTTGTATTAAGAAGAAATCATATCATCTAAATTCAATATTCCACCTAGCTTTTCTGAACAAATAGGCTATGAAACCCCCACAGAGAAACTTCATCAAGGTAAGAACGTATGTTTAAATACCACCTTTTCCCTCAACCAGCCTGGAAGTTCAATAGGTGAAAGAAGAAATTTCCCAAGGAGTTAATTTCTATGGTAAGTTAATTCCATGCTCCTTGAATGCTGAAAGGATTTCTTTCCTTGGTGTAGGCAAGCCCTTAGATTAGCAAAGGAAAATTTGTGATGGAGGTGCCGTTTCTCTCGTGATAGCTTGAATGAGCTCTGGTGTCAGGGCTGTGGTGGAAGAGACAGTCTGTAAGTAGGCTAGTGTGGGAGGGGGAAGAAATTGTCTTCAGAGTAGCAGTAGCTTCATAAAAGCCCCTTGCTTCATATTCTTCCCTCCTACTAATCCTTGCTATGGCCATAAAAATAAATTAAAAAAGGCTGAGGCTTTGGCTACACAGAAAAATTGACCATAAACTATGATAATGTGGACGTTTTCTTCCCCTGCCTCCATTACCCCTTGTGATTTTCAAGTTGGACATGTGTTATAAACTCAGTATGGATAAGGGCCAGGATATTGTTTCTTGTTTGACCACTGCTTGAGAAACAGAGCTTAAAGTATTCCTCAAGAAAGCTCTGTTCCCGAGGGATTTAGTTAGCCTTTCCCTCAGCTCGTAGGGGATTCAGAGAATAATGTTGCAGACTGATGGTATTTGGAAACTAAACCCTAGGAAAATGTACTCTGGAAGCATGCACAGGGACAACATGTAGCTGATACTTGGAAAAAAATAACTTTCAAGTGTCTTCAAGCCTTTGGAAACAGTTGCCAATTGAGCTTGTTTGTCCTGTCTCATTCCGGTGCTACTGATTACAGAGGTTTCTGAAGTCAGGGGAAATGGAGAGCAAACCTGTGGGGGGGATTTTTGTCTGATCTGGAATGAGAAGTACCTGTCAGTTAGAAATCGGAAACTACTTTTTTATGCTGGGCTTAGCAACATAGGTGACACTTACGTTAACCTTCCAGTAACTTACCAGTTCTGTCTGTACTTGGCAGGAGCTGCGATACACATCTTTCCCACTTCCCTACCTTGTCAGGAGAAAGCAGTTTGCAAAGCTGGGTGCCTGGGTTGTTCCCCTTGGTGATGGGTTGAAGCCTGGCTTCCCACCATGCTGCAGCCATCCACAGACCCCTGGAGAGCTGTATCACAGGAGATCTTTGCTGTGAGGGTGACTGAGCACTGCAATAGGTTGCCCAGAGCGGCTGTGGAATCTCCTTCCCTGGAGGTAATCAAGAGCCATATGGTCACAATCCTGAGCACTGTGCTTTCGGTGATGGTGGACTAGATGAACTTCAGTGGTCCTTCCCTCAGCCGTTCCTCTGATTCTGTGGTTGCTGTATTACAGGTAGTTTGGAGTACTGAAAGTGATGTTCAGCGGTAAAAACACCGAGAACTTGC